AGCCCTTGATGCTGGATCCGATGCGTGACTGGGAGGAGTTGCTGAAGGAAAAGGGAAAACCCAGGCATGGAGAGAGGAGAAGGAGGTGCCAGGGGAGATCTGTGCAGGCAAATAGCGGGTAGGATAGACAGCAGGGCGGCGTGCAGCAGACAACCACCCCGTTTCTCTGATCTGCTGGTGCGGGCTGGTGTGGCCCAGTGGGGACCAGTTCGGATCACGCCTGCAGCAGGGCTCCGCTCTCTGGAGCTGGGGCAGCCCCGGAGCCGTTCAGCTCTGCCCCCCTGCAGCAGTGAGCCCGTGGGGGAAGGGTGGGGTCGGAGAGGCCAGGGGTGGAAGGTGGGAAACTGAGGGGAGCCGGGCCAGGATTCTTGGAAGCGACGGTTAGTAATAGTTGCCAGGGATGCAGCTTCTGGGTAACGTGGTTACCTGCCCGTCTTCATGTGATAGCCCTGTCTCGAGCGGGCTGTTCCCTAAATGAGTGTCTGCTGCATCTCCGGGAGCGAGGGAGGAGAGGGATGGGGCGCGTTTTGAGAGCGCCGCAGGATTTACCCTATCAGCGCTCTGTCCGTACATGCCTCGTACAAATTACCCTGTTTTAAAGCTGTCATTATGGTAATAGACCCAATTGCTGTCTAGTAAAGCCATAAAACGTTTCCATCTGCCCGTGTGCTCCGGGCTCCTCAGCAAAGCTCGTTACCGCGAAAACCAGTTATTGCAGCCAGAGGTTTCCCCGGCACAGCACGAGTAGCCGGGCACGGGCAGGGAGCGGAGAGCTCCTGAGGTGCGTCCCGCCGGGAATTACACCGTGTCCCGCTGTTGGACACGCTCCCAGCGTGCAGAAAAAGCCACGGACAGTGTCCCTGCGGAGCTCAGCCAGGCTGTGCTGTGAAGGGCTCCTGCCGTGGGCGATAGATCAGCCGGGGGATGCCAAACGGATTGGAGCCTAATGTTTAATCCTTGCTTGCAACGAGGGAAGCCTGCAGCCCTCTGGGAGGATACACTGGCCTATCCTCAAGTTGTTAAACCAACTATGAGCTTAGACGTGTCGAGCAATTGGCTTCGCACGAGTTTCCTGTTGACTTCCAAGTGCTATTAGGATCAGGCACCTAAAAATCGTGGCAGCTGGATGCGCAGCCGTTCCCGCTCCCTCCCCTCTGCGTTACGGGGAGTGAGCCCCTGCGGTGAGCGTGGCTGCCCCTGTGCGGGGGGCTCCTGGCAGAGAGGGGGTGTCCCTCTGCCCCGGCAGGCGGGGGTGGCGGGACATGGGACGCTTCCCATCGGTCTGCAGCCCTTGGTGGGGATGTGTCTGAGCTCCTGGCCCCACAGCGCGGCCCACAGCCTCCCGCACCTTTGCTTCGCACCTGAGGAGCGTGCAGAGGAGTCAAAACCCACCAGGCGTGGGAATACTCTGTTCGGGAAGTCCAGGCAGGTTCCTTCAAGTGAGCAGAGGGGTGGGATTTCAGAGTAAGAGAGTTTTCCTTGGCTTTGTTTTCCGAAGCCCCGGCAGCCGGCCGGGCAGCATCCGCTCATCCCTCTGAAACCACCTTTCCTTCGCCTT